GGTGAAGCTTTTTCCACCGCTGTCAGTAGAAAATCACACAATACAAATATAAAAAAGCACTTCTCCAGCGCAGCGGCATCCAAGTACAAACCGGCTTTTAGCTCATGGACTACAGGATATTACAGCTACACGAGCTACAAGTAAAGAAAAGCAAGCATTACAGGTAAGATTAGATTAGAAGTGCATATTAACACTGGAAAGTCCAGAGAAAGCCGTATCCTTCAAAAAGTGAACGGTTAATTTTAATTCCGGCTCTCGTCTCATATTTTACCATTACTTGATGGCGCCTGGAAAAAATGGCATTACATTATAATATATTATTACATAAGACCAATCCCAAGAGGTTTTAAGAGGAAATAAAAAATACACACAGAACAAAACAGAAGATAAAAGCTTGACGTGTCCTTTTTATGTTTTTGTTGCTGTAGTAGTTTTTACAATTCGTATACAGGATGTTGGAAGACCATACCAAATGGGAGCATTCGAGAGCGTACGCCTCTCGTACCCTGTCCGCATTGAGCGGGCCTGAGACAATCGGGAAGTCAGCTCATGGCCTGCAAGGAAGTCCCCGCTGGCAGGTACAAACAAGGTATATGTCAGAGTTAGGAGACAACATTCTTCGGCTTTCTTTCCTTGTAATTCCTTATTTTCTGGTACCCATTTAGCAGTACTGTACCTGTTAATTTTTACAGTTAAAAACAAAACGGCAAGAAACAGCCAAAAGCCAGCTGTTACATTACTGCCAAAAGTCTCTATGTTACCACTACTGTAAAGCACTTCAGGGTGCTGTGAAACTTTAGAGAAAAACAAAAATTAAGCAACGTACATTACAATAAGATCAAATGGTGATTTAGAGACGCGTCGGCGTGAGCAACGCGCCAACATACCTGCACGTTTCCCGTTAATACGGCTTGTAACTGTTTTGATGGCCGCCTCGCCTCGGGGATTTGCTGTAGCCGCTCTGCTGATCTAGAGTTAGGAGCACAAAACACAAACAACGCAGACATCTACGGTTAAACGTGCTGGCACACGGGCGCTCGAGAAAGGCGGAAAACAGACAACAGCCTTAGCAATTTCGGGTTTTCGAGCCAATTTCGTGACACTTGCGAGATACTTACGTTAATCGTATTCAAACATTCTTTCAAAATACTGTATTGTGAAAATGTGGTGAGAGACACAGATCTGTGGCGTGAATGAATGTTTGAAAACTGTTTATTATTTTCTAAAAACGACCGCCATCCGGCGGTCATTTCTGGCATGGCCTACAGATTTACACGTCCAATGGATTCAAAGGCACTTTGACAGATGTGTTTTGAAGCTAAGACATCCCTTTCTATATTTAGCACCATAGTTATTATAATACATATGTACAGAATAGCTTTGTGCAAGCAAGCCTTCCCTGCAAGACAAAAAGCAACTGCAGCAGTGTTCTAGAGATTTCTCTCGAAGCGTAAGGCATGTATGATACAAGCATCAGATAATTTAGTGCACAACTGTCATAGTCCGGGTCGAGTACCGACAATCCACGATACAATATATCCTTAGTTTTTTCATCTGTGCGTTCACAAACAGTATTACATACTGCTGTAGTCACCATATCCGTAGTAGTTGTTGTAACCCGAGTAATCATAGCCCCCGTATCCACCATAGCCTTGATTGTTGTAGCCATAGTTCCCGTAATTTCCATAACCTTGATTCCAGTAATTTCCGTATCCCTGGTTCCAGTTCTGATTGGGACCTGCAACAGACGCCGAACGCACATCACATTAATAACAGCTGCTGGGATGCTGCAAAACATGTACAGCAGCATGAATATAGACTGAAACAAAAACAAAACTATCAAATTCTGAATTAATGAACATAAAATTGAAATGCAGCGAAATGTAAAGGAATTCCGGCGGTTTTGGGTTGAGACGCACCTCCTCTCCCTCTGGCTCTGCTGACGTATCCTCCTCTTGCGCCCCACTGCTGCTGCTGCTGCTGGTACTGCTCCTTGGACATGGCCACCTTGACCTCGCACTGCAGACACACTGACAGATTACTATCACAAACAGATTTAACAGAAGAAACTGACTGCAGTAAATCAGGATTTGTGGGATCAAAACTTCCTGTGGTTTCATATAAAAAGAGAAAATAATCTTAAATCTTTTATGTCATAAGTATTTAATTCACTGCAGTATCCAAAAATATGCATTTCCTCTAAAGCAATAAGCCCCGTGAAGCCGTGCTTTACAGTGAATTTATAACAGCTGTTAGTTGTTAGCTGTTATTCACTGTAAACCACGGCTTCACGGGGCTTATTGCTTTTATAAAACGGTTATTCCATATACATAGTAAGGTTTAACAAAACAAAACAGAGCAAATAAAGTGTAATGATATAAATAAAAACAGTATTCTTCCACCAAACAATGTAGTTCCTCAGAAACAGTTGTGGTTCCAACAAAGTGGTAAGTGGCAACACACAGAAGTAAACAAAGGTGTGTGTTTGTAGAGTAATTTACAACAGCTTCGAACACGGCTCAACCAATCAGAATCAAGGACCGGAACGCTCCGTTTTATAAACTGTTATTTAGTGCACAAGTCATTTTTGGCAAAAATAAAGAAAGAAAAAAATATATATATATATATCATCATTACAGTGATACAAAGTTGTGGCCTAAGAGTGAGTGAACGAATTAATAAAACTTAGCCCAAATTAAGTCATTTGTGGCCACAATATCTGTTTTTTTTCTCTCATGTGTGCAGAAAATACATTTTCTCACTTTGTCTTCATGAAGTCTCTAATACAAAAAAAGTGAAAATATTTTATTTTAATGTGATTTCACCAGAAACTGCTAGTGTTTTTAAATAATGAAGATATCCACCTTATTTTTCCCGTAAGAGCGGGCCATTTGTAAATTTAATGTGCGAGGCTTCTGGTGTCATTCGCTTCCAGCTATTTTTAGCTGTACAAAACAGCTCCTTTTGCTGCGTGATATTGCAAACTAGTGTGTCTTACCATGCTATTTTAATGTATTATCTTAATTATGAACACACTGGTTTGTAGTGCAAACAGTTTTACTGTTTACTGCGCTCTGATATTCTTCTCGTTATACAGCAGCTGATGAAGCAGAAGTCTCACACATTCACAGAAAGCAGCTTACTTCCACGTTGAAGAATAAGGTGGATATAGAACGTTTATGATTTATGATGTGCAGGATCATGCACATTAGGACCATAAAACCGTACCTTGCTTAAACCGATGTTGTGGTACTTCTTCTCCATAATTTTCTTTACAGGTTCCTCCTCTTTAAATGTTATAAAACAAAAACCTCGTCTTTTATAATATCTTCATGGAACATAATCTTTGCGTAATATCCTAATGATTTTTGGCATAAAAGAAAAATCTATAATTTTGAACCACACAATGTATTTTTGGCTATTGCTACAAATATACCCCAGCGACTTAAGACTGGTTTTGTGCTCCAGGGTCACAAATTACAAACGTCTATCAATTGTCCACTACCTCTCCGCAGGCGTCAAAGTACTCTCTGATCTTCTCCTCTGGAGTATCTGGGGAAAGACCTCCTACAAATATCTTCTTCACCGGCTCTTTGGACTTCATGGCCTTCGCTTTCTTAGGGTCGATCGCTTTTCCATTCAGTTTGTGCTCCTTCTGTGAGATCACCTTTGACCAGGAACAGACACACATCGAGGCTGGAGTTAATCGAGCTCTCTTCAGCATAACAGCAGCAGAACTCAAATGGCACGCTGGTTTCAAAATACCTTTTCCACACTCTCAGCATCTTTAAACAGAACAAACCCAAAGCCCCTGGACCGGCCCGTCAGAGGATCCAGTTTCAAGGTGCAGTCCACCACCTCTCCAAATTTACTGAAGTAATCTTTCAGGTCTTTCTTTGTTGTGTCCCAGCTCAAGCCTCCGACGAACATTTTCCTGAAAACAAAAAGACTGATGTGAAAACAGATTGTGGGGGAAGACAGAGTGATTTATCTCGGCTGAAAGACGAGTGATTACAGTCGTTTTTAAAACGAATCCCAAGCCGTCAACATGAAACATTAGCATATTACCCACCCACTTGTTGGTCTTTTCGCGTTGGTCTAAATGAAAATCCACTAGGTGCAGCTTATGGAGCGGTAATAATAGCGGTTTCCCCGGTAACGGCTGTACACAAAACAGCACTGCGCTCACAAACGCTGCTTTATCAGGCATCACAGGCGAGATTAAATGAAACTGAGACCAATCGGACCTATCACCGCAGACTAGCGTCACGCAAAGGAGGGGTTTGAACGTTGAGCGAATCGTTTGGGAGTCGTTGAGCAAGTAAGGTAAAAATAAATGCATATTATAAGACAATGAAAGTGTTTTTGACCTTGCATGCATGTCAACCTGTTGTTGGGAACTCCCAAAACCAAAATATGAACCTTTCATAACCCATAATAGGGGCACTTTAAACCTTTAAAAGACCAATTAAAGGAATAAATTAAAGGGAATATGTCAATGTGTTCTCTCAATGTAAAAGGAGAACACAATGAGATGTATTAGCAGCATAATTTACAACCAATCTCCATTCATTTTTAATTAATTATACAAAAAAAATAACACAAAAGCCTGACTACTAGAATATGGAAATATCTTTTACTGTCCTTCTCAGAATTATTGTCTTGTTTTTCAATTCTAATGTCTACAAATTCTTTAAAACATGATGAAAAAAACGTTTTCTGGGTAATTTAACAAAATGAAGTGAATTTATGATTTACAAAGAGGACAAATACCTTCTTGTAGGCTCAGAGAACAGTTTTTATGCCCCACTGACAGATGTCTGTTCTTGTTTTAAACATAAAGCCCCCAAAAACACATATATCGCAAGTTTGCATTTCAAGTAAATGTATCTTGATTTAACAATGTTTAGGAGCTTGTATTGGAAAACAAGACCAAAATACTGTTCATTCTTGCAGTGCATGGAACATTTCATGCCATGACTTTATGATTTGAAGTATATTTGCTCCAATTTAAGACATGAGGCCTTCATTTGTCTAAGGGAAAATTAAGACTTTTGAGACCTTCCTAGATTAGAGAGATTCAAGACTCACTTTCATTTGAAAGGTTCGCATTTCCCACCACGTTTAGTCATTCATTTAAGATAAAACCACACAACAACAACAAACAACACCATTAACTATTAAATCCACTGAGATATTCTCGTCGGAAAAAGACGCTGTTGACATTTGACAAGCTAGCATTTGAAAGGCAAATGTGTTTGGAAACAGCTCGGCCTCATGAATATTCATAATGTCTTCCGTACTCCGACCGATATTTTCACGTTTTTACAGTCTGTCCCTTAAATATGTGCTCCATAATGATAAACAGATACCGATTCACAGAAAACGAGTAGATTTTTTTACTTGTTTGAGCGAAACTCGTTACGCGGAGTCGAATAGCTTGGGGTAAGTTAATCGATTAGTGTCAGGAAACCAAGTCTAAATTCAGGCTGCTCTTGTTTATCTGCGTTAGAGGGGCCGAGACTCACCCCTCGTCCTCCTCGTTTTTACTGGCGTCTATCTTGGAGCCCTCCGCCTTTCTCTGTCCGCCGTCCTCAGCGCCCGGGATCTCCTCCTCTCCATCAGTCTCCTCCATCTTCATCAGCGCCTTCTCGCCCACAAGCTGCTCCTCCGACATCTTTGATCAATTCTCGGCGAAAACACGGGCTGTTCGCGTCGTCTTTCCTGAGGAAAGCGTCGTAGGTTAAAACTCGACCGGACTGGACCTAAACCGTGCTGAATTAGGCTCGGGATCGCGTTTGTTTCAGTCTGCTTTCAGAATGTCGATGGCAACGGCGTCCATTCACAAAATGGCGTCGCAACGGAAGCAGAGCGTCATGACGTCACTGCGCCTTTAAAACCCACGACGCCACGCTGACGCTCACCACAGCGCGAGTAAATACGTTTACATCCAAGAGCAGGTTAGGCATTACACACTACAAGAAAAAGGTACTCAAAGAAAATGAAAGAAACACAGAACAACAAATTCTTTTTCCCCCAATTTTTAATCCCTTTATCCAAAAACCTTCAGGAAAAGAACTAAAATACAAAATAAAGGACATTTGTTTTTCTATTCAAGACTTAAGAACACATCAGCACAAAACCTACAGGTTCAATCTGAACAAAGCACGGAATAAGACAAACTTGGAAACAAAACGCCTCGCTATTTACAAGGTTTAGACACTGAATAACGTTTTTTAGTAGTTGTTTAAGGACAGGAATCCACAAGCTGCCTCCGAGGAGCAATGTCGAAGTCAGCCTGCCCACCTACAAGAGAAGATACGCAAGATGAACCACTCTGATTTGGACATGTTTTAAAAAAAATAAATAACAGCACGTCCATGTTTCAGTGTTTAACTTCTTGAGCTGTCGATTTTAAACTAGGAAAACCATCATTAAAGATTAAAGATCATATGGATTGACAAAACAGCTGGTAAGCCAGCAAAAGCTTCAGACCAATGGAGGAGCGAGCCAAACGTCTTCCCCTTTAAACTGAAGATTGTAATTTGCATTTAGCCAATAGGAGAGTTGGTTTCATCAGTCTAACACAGATTTGTCAGCTTTCAATGGCTTGGTAAACCCACTTTACATATGATCTTTAAAGGCTACGCTTTAGGAAAAGCCTTGAGGTGAACCCATTTGAAGTTCTCTATGGCCTCTAAAGAAAAAGCAAGCATTATGAGAGAGTTTATGCAATTATTTATACAAGGGAGGTGTGACTGAAACCAAAGAAATAAAAATAATAAATCACTGACGCTCCACAACTGGAGAGCACTACAATTGAAAAAGAGAATACAACAGCAAAGCGGTTATGAATCACTTTTAGGTTACGTTAACAAAGTCCTGCAAAAAACACATTTGGAACTGTTAACAAAAACCAACAACTTAAGGAAAATGGGGGAATCTCCTTTTGTCTTTTTGTTTGTTTTACGCTGGTACAGGAAGTTTGAAGAGACCATACCACAGGACAGCGCTTTCTCGTGCATGCCGTGCTCTCTGCCCGCTATGTGCGACGCCCAGAGAATGTCGCGGTCAGGTGACACACGGCCTGCAATGAAGTCCCCGCTGGCAGGTACAAACAAGGTACAATAATCAGAATTAGGGAAAGAAAGGAGAAATCAGGAGAGGCGCCCTTACTCTGTACCCCTTAGCTGTACTTTACCTGTTAGCATTGCTATCAAGTCTCTAAGTTATTCCATTATGATCACCTGTTAAAGTAGGAGGAGGAAAAGGAAAACGCTTACGTTTTTCTGGCACGCTAAAAAGGCAAAATGGCTACACAAACGAGAGTGATTAAAGATCTATAGACATGTGTTCAACTCTGGTGCTTTGATATGCGTAGTCATATAGTGTCTATTGATCTTTAACATTGAGCTCGGGTCCAGAACGCAGCAAAGATGTGACCTTACCATGAACATGAACGTGTTTAGCCACTTTGTCAATACGGCTGGTAGCTGTTCTGATGGGTTCCGCTTTCCCGTGAGGCCTTGCCATAACTGCTCTGTTGACCTTCAAAAATTACAAATATATATATATATATAATAATAGTTTATGCATTTAGCAGACGCTTAAAAGCGACTTACAGTGCATTCAGGCTGTACATTTTTTTACCAGTATGTGTGTTCCCTGGGAATTGAACCCATGACCTTTTGCGCTGCTAACGCAATGCTCTACCACTGAGCCACAGGAACATATATATAGTGATAAGAGACCGGCGTAGCAGCATTACAACGTTGGTATATAAAGCAACCAATGCCTAAATGTCACTAAATGTGGATAAAAACTACACATAAAAGTTTGGTTGGGAACAGATTTATGTACTTACAAAGCACTAAAACACTTCTGTAAATTGTCTAGTTGTCTTTTCAATGTTTTCAGAGCAGTTTCATCATTTTCAGTGAGATATATATATACATATATATAAATAATTAAGTGGGTTTAAAATGAATACACTATCTTTAAAACACAGTTTATTAAAGTATTTAAAGTAACATTTTCTATAACTGTATGCTTACTGGTTGAAATAAATTATTCTTCCAAATACATTTGTGCGCTTTAACTGTACTGTGACTTTAACTTGGTATCAAAAAATAAATTAAAATAAAAATAGTGGGGCAATTCTGCAACCAAATTATGCCCCGATGTAAATTTTGCCTAAACTGAATGGATTTTTTATAACTAATGGCTTCCTAAAGGGTGGAAATAAACAATACATCATGAATATCAAGGCTTGGGTCTCTGAAGGTTAAATGTTCAATAAGAAACTGTGTGTAAAATTACCACTGTAATCATCATAGCCTTGTCCATAGCCATAATTCGGATAGTTGTATCCCGAATAGTCATAGCCAGAATAGCCGTTATAGCCCTGGTTGTATCCGTCGCCGTAGCCTCCATAGTTCTGGCCATAGTAGCTGTTGTATCCTTGATTATAGCCCTGGCCCTGTCCTGTTCACAGAGAGTCAGAGGAGCACTTTCAGTCCAGAACCACTGGAATAAAAGACAGCAGCAATCTCTAGATTTGCAAACCTCTTCCACGGCCCCTGAAGCCTCCTCGTCCTCCTCCAAAGCCTCGGTCCGCTCTGCCCTGCTGCTGTCTGTAAACTTCTTTAGGTTGGGCAACTTTGACTTCACACTGGCAACAAAGATTAACAGCATTAGGCCCCGATCACACCGAACGCGTTTTTTAGGTCTGAATGGCGCTGTCATTTTTTGGTGACTTTTAAAAAAAAAGAGCAGTGCACTGTGTTTTTTTTATGTTGCTAGGCAACCACCAAATCAGCTGTCTGTCAGTCTAATCAAAGGATTATAGCGCGAGCGCTTTAAAATCTTTGGTTTTTGCTGTTAAGTAAACTGTCATATTCGCAGAAACCTTAAAAAATACAGCTCCGGGTAACCCGCGACAGACACAAAAAGTTTCTCCTCCATCATTGCAGACTCCGGACTTTCTAAGCAACGGTAAACTTTCGTCATCACAACGGTAGGCCCGCCTCTCCGTTCATTCGATTGGACAATGGAAAAAAACACGAATGACGTCGGGCACTTTTCTGCTCAGAGTTACTTTTTTTTGTAGTTGCTTTTTTTTTAACTCCAGGCGCTCAGAGCGCTCCTGCAAAAACGCGAGGCGCACAGGGCGCATAAACACGCTCACTGCCGACCGAAAAAAATTAAAAAAGGCACCTCTCACTGCAAAAAACGCGTTCTGTGTGATCGGGGCCTAATGGTGTGTTCACACCAGACGCGAATTTAATTATTTGCGCGAGTAGACTACATACAAAGTCAACGCAAAGGTAGTAATGTAGTAATGAATGATGCGAAATGCGCGACGCGTTTGGCTTTCCATTGTATTTGGGACTTTTTGACAACAGGTACAAAACAGCGATTGTAGTTATTTCCACCATGGTTGATCACGCTGTTTTTATTCGCGCGAGTTACACGAAAAACATACCGCGAGTAATCTAGAGCGAGTGACACGAAAAACATCAGATCAAAGATCGAAAAACAAAGATCAGTAATCTAGAGCGAGTGACGCGATGCGCATATTCGCTTCGCGTCTGGTGTGAACACACCATTACTCACATGTAGGCTTGGGCAAAGTATTGTTATAAACCGGAGAGTTCCGGTCCTTGATTCTGATTGGTTGAGCCGCGTTCGAAGCTGTTGTAAATTACTCTACAAACACACACCTTTGTTTACATTTGTGTTGCTCGGCAACCACTTTGTTGCAACCCCAACTGTTTCTGAGGAACTACATTGTTTGGTGGAAGAATACTGTTTTTATTTATATCATTACACTTTATTTGCTCTGTTTTATTTTGTGAAACCTTACTACGTATATGGAATAACCGTTTTATAAAAGCAATAAGCCCCATGAAGCCGTGGTTTACAGTGAATTTATAACAGCTAAGGGGGTTTTAGGCACTAACAACGCACCTTAGCTGTTATAAATTCACTGTAGACCACGGCTTCACAGGGCTTATTGCTTTAATTTACTCACACGTGCCTACTATGATCCGTTTTATTAATACAGATCTAGGTCTGTCAAATATAATATCATGATAATACCAACATACCTTGCCTGAACCAAGTTGATGGTATCTGTTCTCCAGCAGCTGATGAACGGGATCCTCTGAAACGTACGTCACGAAGCAGAATCCCCGCCTTTCGTTTGTTTTGGTGTCCATGGGCAGCTCAATGCTTTCAATCTTTTGAGAGAAAAATACACCGCTTGTGGTGCTACTTCCAAAAGATGTGATTTTAAATTATAAAGTGCTTCATTGAAGTTACTCACTTCCCCATAAGCTCCAAAGTACTCCCGGATCTGCTCCTCAGACGTGTCTGGACTCAGACCGCCGACGAACACCTTCTTGGGCGGTATTATTAGCGTTTAGTTTGGGCATTGAAAAAAATCTTACCAATGAGGTTTACCAAAAACAATACTTTATAGTTTCTTCTGTTGCATTTCTTACATGCATCACCAGCAAATGTGTATAATACCAGCAGTTGCGTGTTAGTGCATCGATTATTAAGTGGTGTGATTTGAATGCTGTTTATTTTTGTGCAGGAAAATGTTCATCGGTGGACTCAGTTGGGACACCAGCAAGAAAGACCTTACTGACTACCTGTCCAAGTTTGGAGAGGTCCTTGACTGCACCATCAAAACAGACCCCATGACCGGCCGCTCCAGGGGCTTCGGCTTCGTTCTCTTCAGAGACGCTGAGAGTGTTGATAGGGTAAATGTTCCCCTCAGGCTTTACGCTTAGTGATAACATCCTTGAGGCAGCATTCATAGCAGGCTCTTGATGTGTTTAGGTGCTAGAGCTGAAGGAGCACAAGCTGGATGGGAAACTGATCGATCCCAAGAGAGCCAAAGCCATGAAGGGCAAGGAGCCGCCCAAGAAGGTGTTCGTCGGCGGTCTGAGTCCAGACACGTCTGAGGAGCAGATCCGGGAGTACTTTGGAGCTTATGGGGAAGTGAGTAACTTCAATGAAGCACTTTATAATTTAAAATCACATCTTTTGGAAGTAGCACCACAAGCGGTGTATTTTTCTCTCAAAAGATTGAAAGCATTGAGCTGCCCATGGACACCAAAACAAACGAAAGGCGGGGATTCTGCTTCGTGACGTACGTTTCAGAGGATCCCGTTCATCAGCTGCTGGAGAACAGATACCATCAACTTGGTTCAGGCAAGGTATGTTGGTATTATCATGATATTATATTTGACAGACCTAGATCTGTATTAATAAAACGGATCATAGTAGGCACGTGTGAGTAAATTAAAGCAATAAGCCCTGTGAAGCCGTGGTCTACAGTGAATTTATAACAGCTAAGGGGGTTTTAGGCACTAACAACGCACCTTAGCTGTTATAAATTCACTGTAGACCACGGCTTCACAGGGCTTATTGCTTTAATTTACTCACACGTGCCTACTATGATCCGTTTTATTAATACAGATCTAGGTCTGTCAAATATAATATCATGATAATACCAACATACCTTGCCTGAACCAAGTTGATGGTATCTGTTCTCCAGCAGCTGATGAACGGGATCCTCTGAAACGTACGTCACGAAGCAGAATCCCCGCCTTTCGTTTGTTTTGGTGTCCATGGGCAGCTCAATGCTTTCAATCTTTTGAGAGAAAAATACACCGCTTGTGGTGCTACTTCCAAAAGATGTGATTTTAAATTATAAAGTGCTTCATTGAAGTTACTCACTTCCCCATAAGCTCCAAAGTACTCCCGGATCTGCTCCTCAGACGTGTCTGGACTCAGACCGCCGACGAACACCTTCTTGGGCGGCTCCTTGCCCTTCATGGCTTTGGCTCTCTTGGGATCGATCAGTTTCCCATCCAGCTTGTGCTCCTTCAGCTCTAGCACCTAAACACATCAAGAACCTGCTACGATCGCTGCCCAAACGATGTTATTACGAGACACGAGGACTGGCGGGGGACACTTACCCTATCGACGCTCTCAGCGTCTCTGAAGAGCACGAAGCCGAAGCCCCTGGAGCGGCCCGTCATGGGGTCTGTTTTGATGGTGCAGTCAAGGACCTCTCCGAACTTGGACAGGTAGTCAGTAAGGTCTGTCTTGCTGGTGTCCCAACTGAGTCCACCGATGAACATTTTCCTGCACGACAGCAAACAGCACTCAAATCACAAATCCATGCATTAACATGAAACTGCTGATAATGATATAATACACACATTGGTCGGTCATGCATATACAGAATACAACCTAACTATTACCTCATTGGTGTGAGAGTGTGTATATATATGTATATAGATAGATAAGACAAGATGATAGATAGATGTTCTGTACATACATATCACGTAATGTTACGATAGATAGATAGATAGAGAAAGAGAGAGAGAAATTGATGAATGGAGAGATGGATAGAGAGATGGATGGATGGACGGATAGACAGATGCGCAAATTAAACTTCAAGCCATTAGACGCGGGTAGGTTTCGAGCATCTTGAGCTCGATGTTGTTTAATATGGTGCATATTAATGATATAGGCGTTCGGAACGACGCACTGCGAATGAAGTGTGAGAACATTGTCCCGCGAGGTGAACGCGGCGGTAACGCTCCACTCGCGGCGCGGCGCGAAGGCCTCGCTCCGGACTCACCCGTCGTCCTGCAGGTTTTTACTGGCGTTTATTTTGGAGCCTTCTGGAAACTCGTCGGTGCTGAAGTCACCTTGCTCTTCGGCCTGCATTCTGGAATATATGTAGTTTGATCTGCGTACTATGTAACAGATTATATTACGGTGTTTTTAGCAGGTCAAAGACTCCAAGACGAATAAAGTACCGCGTTGATTAAGATGGCGGACGGAGATCAGTGACGACAGCCGCAGCAGGAGGAAGCGAGTGGGCGGGGCTTCTTCTGCTTCTTCTTCTTTTGGTTTTATGGCGGGTTGCGAACCAACTTCTTAGGTGCATACCGCCACCTACTGTGATGGAGAGTGAAGAGAATGTACCGTTTCTCACCTAAATCTTATATTCTGTTCTTTATTACACATTTCTTAATAAATCTCATGATTGCACTTATTTATTCTCCTGCATTTGGACCATCATTCAGAATACTACTTAATGAAAATCATTTAATTCCTAAGGATTGTAATTCATCTTTAAGTGGATCCCTTTCTCTTTCATATGCTGTACATATCATCATAACGTGTTCCACTGATTCCATACACATATTTAAGGATTCTTTAGCCGTTTCATCTACCTCTTCATTACCTTGAATTCCCTCATGCGCAGGTACCCATATAAACCGAATAATTATCCCTATCTGTATAATACTGTATAGTGTAATCATGATTTCTGATTAAATGTCTTTTCTATTTGATTGTGGGCGGGGCTTGTGCTGTAGATATTATAATATAGATTTAAATATTTTACAAATACACTTTGAAATGTTAACTCTACAGATTTTTCTTAAATAAATACATTCATATAAAATAAAATAACAATATAAATAAGAGACTTCTAACCATAATGTTCTTTTTGCTATGACCCAGTTTATCCTTATTAATATTTGCATTATATTAAATAATTCCAATTAATGGAGCCATTGAATAGTTCACCCAAAATATTCAATTATTTCTAGCATCATTTACAGGGCTGTTTCTAGTAGGGGAAATCATCAGTATTACTTAGAAGAAGAAGAAGAAATCATTCATTACGAGAACAACGAAACTTGAAAATGTACTTCACTCACATCAAGGTTTGACTCATGTTTAAAAAAATTAATAAACAAATAAATGCTGCAGTCACGTGCAGCTCAATAAAGGGGGCGTTCATACGACACCAGGGCTGCGTTCAGCTCCGACAGAAACGGTGCAAAACGTGTTTTAAACGGAAACGGTGGTGCGTTGAACACTGTTCTGATGACGCAAGAGTTGCAGCTATGGCGGCTGAGAAGGCCATTCTGTTGTTCTTTCTGAAGAATTTTCGGAGCCTGATGAAATCGGTATAAATACGCGTTTAATACTGCAAAATACGCTCGATGGTACATTATTATTTTTATTGTGAGTATTCGGCTTATCATTATTGCTGATCACTGTTGTTGTGCTATGATATTGTAATATTTACCATTATATAATTGGAGGAGTTTAGAAAAGTTTATGAAAGTGTCACTCCACAATGCAATAGCAAAATATATAACTATGTATAGTATTTTTATGTTACATTAATCAGTGTCTAGCACACCTTCCTAAGGAAAGGATATGGACCAGAAGACATTGCAATTACTAAATGATATTTAGACAGACTTAAAGAAGTTTGAGATCTACACTTGTGCTCTTATTATTTCAGTTATTTTGCCTTTAATGTAAATAAACATGTGCAAACAATATACTTGCTCTTGTGAATTTATTTGGATGTTAATTACATTGTGCCAGCTGTCTCTTTAATACCGCGTGGTTTATATACATGTTGCTGCTGATTGGGCTGACATGTTTGACACACCCACCAAACAAGAGAAAACGCATCTCAAACCCCGTTGCACACCGTTTCCAGGAAACATGTCGTTCAAACCGGAAACCGTAGCAAAACGTTGCGCACCGGCTTGAGCTTGAACGTGCCACTGCTGTGCGTGAGGAATCTAATTTATTTATTTAATACATGTTGCTGCTGATTGGGCTGACATGTTTGACACACCCACCAAACAAGAGAAAACGCCTCTCAAACCCCGTTGCACACCGTTTCCAGGAAACATGTCGTTCAAACCGGAAACCGTAGCAAAACGGTGCACACCGGTTTGAGCTTGAACGTGCCACTGCTGTGCGTGAGGAAACTAATTTATTTATTTATTTAATAAACCCTTTTAAATGTAAGTGTATGATGTTTTGCCTTAGCCTATGAAGTTTTATTTTGGCGCAATATGTTCAGCAAAATAATGATTACTATCTATTAAATAAATAAAATATTTTTGCCTTTCAATACAGTTAAATAAAACAATTAAAATTATTATTAATTATTGACAGTCGTTCATTTATTCACAGCAAATTTAACATTGCTAGTTATTACGGCAACATTCAGAATTTCTCCTGATTTGTGGTTAGGATTTATTTTGCAATAATCACCGACTGTGACTGTACATTTCTCCTAAATGGATTGCGTTGACCATTAAACATCTCTTTTTGAAACAACAACAACAACAACAACAACAATAATAACATAAATGAAGAAAATATTTTGTATGTCCTTTTGTTCAAGTAAAAGGAGATTTATCGTATTTAATTGTTTATATGAAGAACTGTATTTTCTGCGTATAACCAGGTTAAATAAATGAATAAATAGGAATTTCACCATAAAATTAAAAAGTAAAAGTACACGAATGAATGAATTTCATGCAATAGGTAAAAATGATTTTATTTATATATATACTTACATTTACTCCTCACTCAACAGCCCTTCCCGGACAGCAGTGTTGCCAGATTTAAAAAAAAGAATAAATAAATAAAATGCCAAAAGGGCTATATACGGCTACACGCCTATTAGATTACAAAGGAAATAATAGTATAATATTTCCTTTATTAATTTTACCACCCCAACAAATGTGTAGAACTAATAATCTAATATTTTTATTCTATTACCATCACCTTCTATTACACCTATATTAAATATAAGTGTAGAGTTGTTGCATATGACGACATATCTTTCCAAATGTAAATAGATATTAAGCAAAAACATAAGAAATGAAGTGTCCCAGTGTAGCATTAATTACCGTCGCTAATGACAGCGGGCGGGGCATGTGTTAGCTCAGCACTAGCCTGCATGCTATTATTGAGTCGTTTGACAAAATCTGAGCTACTCATCTGATATAATCAAACAAAACACAGGACTTTAACAAACATATATATCGTTCGCCATTGATAGAAATGGCAGCGATTGCAGTGGCAGAAAACACCAGAGTCTTTCTTCTGGACATTGAAGGGACCACGACGCCCATCACGTTTGTCAAGGTAAACACAGAGATGATAGACGAGCACAGATCAGATTCAGCATGTCCCGTGGTTTATTGTGATATCGCTTGCATGTAGGAAATCCTATTCCCCTTCATCAGAGAGAATCTGGAGGAGTATCTGTCTGCTCACTGGGAGGAGGATGAATGCAAACAAGACGTGCATCTGCTCAAGAAACAGGTCAAAACACACCGTTGTTATCTTATTTTTACATAGGAATAGCCAGTTATGTCACTGTTTTTAAAAATACGCATTATTTCCATTTGTTTTAACACACTGTACTACAAAACGGGTGCAACTTTTTGTTTTTAATCGTTTGCATTAAAGGAAATATTATAAAACACCTTCAAACTAGGGATGCACGATATATCGGCCACCATATCGGTATTGGCCGATAAATGCTCATTTTTTCTGTTATCGGTATCGGCCCGATAAGAAAATTTGGCCGATATCTTAAAGCCGATAAATAATGCATTATTTCCTTCAGAGTCACTTCAGATGCGCGCTGTTTGTTTGCAGCCTTTTGTGCAATTGTACGTTGTAATATTGTGTTTATTTGATGCATATCTGACCTATCTCATATAGAATGCGTTTGGT